ATATATATATATATATATATATTGAATTATTATATTAATAATCCAAATATACATTGTGTATATTTATTTTAAAAAGAGAATTATGTTCTATCTTTATCAAAATAATATAATATTATACCAATAAAAATATTTTAATATACACTTCATAATATATTTAATAAATAATTATTTAATATATTATACCAATTATATAAAATGTATATAATATTTATAATGTTACAAACGTCAGTTATTTACCTAAATATGCATCATTATACGAGCATTCACATATACCAATAAAAAAATATTTACTCCACCAAATAATTATTGAGAGAGGAAAAGTGCCAATAAAATCATAGTTAATACAAAATCATCCATAGAAGAGAAAGGAAAGATAAAAATCATATGTTGAGCATTAAATTAGCAACTAAAGGCTTGGGTTTCCAAAAAGGAAACGTGATTTTCGCTTGAAGGGGGAGGGGCGTTAGGAAAATGGGAATACCGGAATCCCTACAACTTCGTAGAATATTTTAAAATATTAGACAGTTATATTTTTTCCTCGAAAAAATTAAGCTAAACTACAAATTAAAACATCAATCAGATAACCTCCAAATAATCCCATCAAATTCAACCCATACAAATAAAAGCACCAGAACAACTTACAAAATAAAACCAAGCAACAACCAAGTCTTTCAGTAAAATGCAATAAATAATATTTTTAAAATTATGGTTTGAAATAACTGAACCCCGGTAGGCTTTATACTATTTATTGTCCTTTTTCTATACAAAAATGAATGTGGTTTAATTTTCCTTTGAAAGAAGGTCATCGGCAATTCATCAGTAAGGATTTAGTACTCAAAAATTTACTCACAGATAAACGTTGCAAGTGTTCGAACTGCCAACCTCCCCTGAAAATATCAGTAGCTTAACCAACGAGCCAGGATGGAATTTGTGAACAGCTATGTCATTTTATTTAATTTATTATGATTTATTTGTATTATATTTAACAAAATTTCCGACGTGGTGTCCGCTTCTACCAAAGTAAATCCTCCCCTGCTTGCCCCGTGAGCCTGACACGCATAAAGTTTTAAACTTTTTGAAGTTTCGTTGTTGCCCCTGATTTCGTTCTTTATTGCATAGTTGCCTAAATGTTTTTTTTGGTAAATTTCGTAAAATTTGAGCAAACTTTTTAACGAAAAGTAACATGGGTGGTGTCAGAGAGACACCTAGCAACTTTCTTTCAAATCTTCTTCATGTATATATATTCTCTCTTTCTTTCAATCTCTATATTTCTACTTTTTCACAACCAGCATATTCTTATTTTTATCTTTTTGAAATTATAGGAATACTCTACTCAAAAATTTAAGCCTGTTCATTTTATTTTTCAAATTTTATAACATTTTTATTATATATTATATTACTTATTTAGAAACGACAGTTGTGGTGTACGAACATGTTCAAACATTTTAAGGGTAAATTGGTAATTTCATCCATGCATTCTTAGAGGGACACATATGCTACAATTAATTTGACAAAATCACAAATCACAATTACATTCAGCTTTAGTAGTAGTTCAGTCTGCTCAACTTCAGAGTTCACAACTTCACTTTTATTCGTTGCTTCAAAGGCCCATCCCTGTCTGTGAGTATCTAAACTTTCTTCTAAGCTATTCTCTGTTCTTCAATCTTTCAAATTGTGAAATTCTTTTGTTGATGGGTATGTGGTTGTTTATGACATCGGGTCTTACACTGTTGTATTTGTGACTTGGTGAATTTTACTTCATCTCTTCCATTCTTTGTTGCACCCATTTCCTGGTGATGGGATTTTGATAGATCTGATTTCATGTCAAAGGACTTAGACAAGTCTCCCTTCAGCTTGACAATCAACTTCTTGTCTTTTCCTACAATTAACATGTCATCCACATACAACAACAAAATAATAAAGTTATTATCAAAAAAGCTTTTGAAGTATACCCATGGATAGAATATATCTTTATGTAACTTTGACTTTTCAAAAATGAGTAAAACTTCTTGTACCACTGCCTTGGTGCCTACTTCAACCCATAGAGACTATTATTCAGTTTGCACACCATGTGTTTCCTTTCAGCTACTTCAAATCCTTCTGGCTGCTCCATATAAATCTCCTCTTCCAAATCTCCATGAAGCATGCAGTTTTCACGTCTAACTACTCCACTTCAAGATCTAGGCTAGCTGCTAAGCTCAAAATTGTTCAAATAGAAGTCATTTTGACAACATGTGAGAAAATTTCGTCAAAATCAATACCTTTCTTCTGTTCGAAGCTTTTTACCACCAATCGAGCTTTGTGTCTGACCAACTTGCCATTTTCATCTTTCTTGAGTTTAAAGACCCATTTGCATTTGAGTGGTCTTTACCCTTTGGAAGTTCAAGAAGTTCAACCAACAACTGTACGTGCCATTTTTCTATAGAGATTCCATCTCTTCTTGCATGGCTTTCATCCACTGTTCTTTTCTAGATGGGATAGCACCTCGTTAAGACTTTCTGGCTCTCCCTCATTACTGATGAGGATATACTCCGTGAAAGGGTACCTGCA